TTTAGTATGTGTGCGTGTTAATTTTTTTTTTCATTTATTATTGTTGGCTGTGCTCGTACAATTGTATTATAGTTATTATTATTATTATTATTAATGTTATGATTATAACTTATGATGATGATGAGGATTTTTGTTATGATGAGGATAATAATTATTGTTGATATTGTGATAATTATTATTAATTACCCTTGTTATTTTTTATCAATCTCATCATATTATTAGTATAATTTTATATAGACACCATTCAGATAATTTTAGAAATAAATTTGATCTTTATTTCCATTTTTTTCCCGACGCTCTCGCGAGATGTTGACACCAGCATGTCACTCTATTTTCTAAAGTAAATGTTTGTTGTGCGCTCTCTTTCTCCCCTTGTTCTTGCTCGGGTTCTTGTTCTTCTTGTTCTTTTTATCTTTTCGTTTTATTCTTTATTTATCATCATATTTTTTTTTCTATTCTTCTCTGTCTACATCCTCTTATTCATCATCATCTTGTTTCCTCTTATTCGTCATCATCATCTTGTTCCTCTTTTTTCATCATTCTCTTCTTCCTCCTTCTCATCATCATCTTCTTTCTCCTCCTCTTCTTCATCTTCTTCCACACTGTTATTATCATTCATCATGTCATCATCATCATCAATCATCATCATCATCATCATCATCATCATCGTCATCATCATCACCATCAACACCACCACCACCACCACACCACCACCATCACACCACCATTCATCATCATCACCATCATCATTACATCATCTATCAATATTATTCTTATTATTATCATATTTTTCCCAGCCCTCCCTCCTCTCTTGTCGTTCCGTTTGACCGCTTGTTTTATGTATGAATTGATAATTGAACGGCCTAATTAGCCCATCGAAGCCTATTAACGGCCTTCGCGCTAACGAGGGGCAGACAAAGGCCTATCTAATGTGTGACGTCATAGCCTGTTTTTTTTTTTTTTTTTTTTTGTATCGACTCTTTCTTTGTTTCTTCTGTTTAATTTATCGTTTTTTTGTCGATTCTTTCTTTGTTTCTTCTGTTTAATTTATCGTTTTTTTTGTTTGTTTCTTTCGTTTTTTATGTTTTTTTTTTTTTTTGGGGGGGGGGTAGGGGTATGTCTTTGTTTTTCTTTTTCGTTTTTTATGGTTTTTCCCTTTTTTCGTTCTGTGTCTTTGTTTGTTTCAGCTATTTATTTATTTGTTATTTTTAAAGATATCCTCAGCTTATGTGTATTTATTTCATCTCATTATTATAGGGGGAAATAGGTAGGAGAGAAAGAGAAAGAGAAAGAGAAAGAGAGAGAAAGAGAAACGGAGAGAGAACGAGAAAGAGAGGGAAAGAGAAACGGAGCGAGAAAGAGAAAGAGAAAGAGAAACGGAGAGAGAACGAGAAAGAGAGGGAAAGAGAAACGAAGCGAGAAAGACAAAGAGAGAGAAAGAGAAACGGAGAGAGAACGAGAAAGAGAGGGAAAGAGAAACGGAGAGAAAAGGAGAAAGAGAGAGAGAGAGAAAGAAAAAAGAGAAAGAGAAAGAGAAACGGAGAGAAAAGAAAAAGAAGAAGAGAAGAAACCCAGATGGCAGGAGCAGGGGAGCAAGGTGCACGGCGGCGAAGGGCGGGCTAACAGGGAGACAGACGAGAACACGTGCCAGGGAGATAGGGCGGCAGGGGGGGGGTCAGGGGGGCAGGGGTGGCAGGGGGTGGGGGGGGTCAGGGGCGGCAGAGGGGGGGGGGGGGTCAGGGGGGTGGCGGCAGGGGGGTAGGGGGGTCAGGGGGGCAGGGGGTGCAGGGGGCAGGGGGGGGGGGTCAGGGGGCACGCCGCGCGCCGCCTGGGATCAACCTCGGAGCCTCGGAAACTAACGAGCTAATGGAACGACTGTGTACACGCGGGCCACTCGGGTCCGGGCGCCCGCACGCACGCACACGCAATACGGCACGTAGATACGCACACGAACACGATGCATACATAGTACATACACACATGTAACATTACGTAACACATGCATACATATGTACATACACACATGCATATATACGTACATACATACATACATGCGTACGTTCATACATACATGCGTACGTTCATACATTCATACATACATACATACATACATGCATACATAATTACATATGCATACATATACATACACACACATGACATTCATTAGCATAAAAATAGACACAGACATACAAAGGCACATAAATAGGTAGACAGACAGACAAACGAATAGGAATGATAAATCGCACGCAAAGACAGATTAGTGAAAAAAGGAAAAAAAAAAAAAAAAAAAAATGTCCTCTTTATTCCAATTCTTTATCCTCTCCGTTCATTCTTATTCCTAATTCTTATCCTCGTTTCTTCCTTCCAATTCTCATTCTTTGTCCCCTTCCCTTCTTTTCCTTCCGTTTCTTCTTTGTCTCCTTCCCTTCTCCTTCCTTCCGTCCCTCCTTATTCCCAGCTCCTTCTCTTTCGCTTATTTCTTATTCTCAAATTCCTTATCTCTCTCGCTTATTCCTTTATCCCTATTCCCATTCTCTCTTGTTTCTTCTTATTCCCCAATTCCTTATCTCTCTCGCTTTTCCCTCTTCTCCATTTCCTTATCTATCCCGTATTCTTCTTCCCCAATCCCTTATCTCTCTCGCATATTCCTCTTCCCCAATTCTTCATTTCTGTCGCTTTTCCCTCTTTCCCAAATTCTTTATCTCTCTCGTTTACTCCTCTTCCTCAGTTCTTTATCTCCTTCGCTTATTCCCAATATCTCGCTTATCCCCCTTCCCCAATTCCCTATCTCTCTCGCCTATTACTATTCCCCATTGCCCCATTTCTCTTGTTTCCCTTATTCCCGAATTCCTTATCTCTCGTTTTTTTCTTATTCCCGAATTCCTTCTCTCGTTTTTTTTTTCTCTTATTCCCGAATTCCTTCTCTCTCGTGTTTTTTTTTCTCGATTTCCTTATCTTCTCTCGGTTTTTCTCTTATTCCCGAATTCCTTATCTCTTCTTTTTTTCTCTTATTCCCGATTTCCTTATCTCTCTCGTTTTTCTCTTATTCCCGATTTCCTTATCTCTCTGGTTTTTCTCTTATTCCCGAATTCCTTATCTCTCTCGTTTTTCCTTATTCCGAATTCTTATCCCTCTCTTGTTTTCTCTTATTCCGATTTCCTCATCTCTCTCTCTTGTTTTCCCTTATTTCCCGAATTCCGTATCCTCCGTTTTTTCTTCTTATTATTCCCGAATCCTCTCTCTTTTGTCTTCTCTATTCCTATTTCCTCATCTCTCTCTCTCTTGTTTCCTTATTCCCGAATTCCTTATCCCTCTCGTTTTTTCTCTTATTGATTTCCCTCATCTCTCTCTCTTGTTTTCTCTTATTCCCGAATTCCTTATCTCTCTCGTTTTTCTCTTATTCCCGAATTCCTTATCTCTCTCTTGTTTTCTCTTATTCCCTATTTCCTTATCTCTCTCTTGTTTTCCTACGATTTCCTCACCTCTCTCTCTTGTTTTTCCCTTATTCCCGAATTCCTCATCTCTCGTTTTTTCTTCTTATTCCCTATTTCCTCATCTCTCTCGTTTTTTTTTCTTATTATTCCCTATTTCCTCATCTTCTTCTCCTATTCCCGAATTCCTCATCCCTCTCGCCGGCTCCTCCTCCCGCGACCGGAGGGTGATGAAGCCGGCCTACGGATCTTAAACATTCACGGCTTCGAACCTCTATTGATCTGACGCCGATGAGGTCGTGGGTAAGGGAGGCGGGGAGGGGGGGGAGGGGAGGGAGAGGGAGGGGGAGGGGAGGAGGAGGGAAGGGAGAGGGAGGGGGGAGAGGGAGAGGGAGAAGGAGGGAGAGGGAGAGGGGAGGGAGGAGGGGAGAGAGGGAGAGGGAGGGAGAGAGGGGGAGGGAGAGAAGGGGGAGAGAGAGAGAGAGAGAGAAACAGAGAGAAGGACAGAGATAGATAGATAGAGAGAGAGAGAGAGAGAGAGAGAGAGAGAGAGAGAAGAAGAGAGAGAGAGAGAGAGAGAAGAGAGAGAGAGAGAGAGAGATAGAAAGAGAAGAGAACAGAGAATATAGATAGATAGATAGATAGAAAGAGATAGAGAACGAAAAGAAAGAAACCAAAAAAACCATAAATTGCGTCCGTCCAGGAGCCGGATTGGAGAGAAAGGGAAGACGAGAGTGCAAACAAAGTGATTTCTTCTCCCTGGCTCTTCCTCTCTCGCAGCAGTTTATGATATTCGTTATAGTTTTGTTCCTGTTATTATTGCTATGAACAAAATCGTGGTCTCGCATTCTGTGGTCTAGTAACAAGAAACAAACCTGTTGTGTTTGGGTTTTTATTTTTTTTTCCAAAAATACGTATATATACTATTTATATATTATTTATATATATATACGTATTTGTATATATATTTGTATATATATACGTATCCGTATTCAGGGGGACTAATTATTTTGTTTCTGCTCAACCATGTTCGATCTTACTTTCCTGAATCTAAGGAGAATCCTTTAATTTTATTGATTTATATGTCTCAGGTAGATTTGTTTTCTTTTTCCTTGTCGTATAATTCCTTCTTTCATGTGCTCTCGCTTTTTTTGTTATTTTTATTTATTATTTTCATTAAGATTATTTTTTTTTTTACGACGAAGCTAGTGACCTTGTGGGTATCTTGCTCAACCAACCCTTTATTTCTCTATCGAAGGACATGAAGTTGTTCTTTCTTTGCCAAACAAGCCAGCTCCTTATTCTTTGGGATTAAGAATTCTAGTTATATGTAAAATTATGTCATTGCTATTATGGGATAGCTTACTACTAAGAACGCTATCCCAGAAAAGCATTTAATAGTGACTGATACTATCCTAGAAAAGCATTTAATAGTGCGTTATGTGACTGATAAACTGAAGCTCTATACATGTTTATGGAGGTATTACTCTGTCGTTGATTAAGCAATAGTAACTTAGTAACCGCGATCCTTCCCAAGCCTGAGACTGAGCCCTCTCCCCTGCGTTCCAGGACCCGAAGCTGACCTTCACCCTGAAAGGCTCCTCCACGGACGGGCTGGAGCAGAAGAGCTTCACGGTCGTCCACGGACCCACCTTCGTCGAGGTCTACTACTGCAACTTCATCGCCCAGAAACCTGAGATCGCTAAGGTAAGTTCTATTTTCTTGGCTTTGTCAAGTGGTTTCAGGTTTTTCTCCGTTTTTCATTTTTTCTTCTACTTTTGTCACTTCTACTTTCTACTACTTTTTTCTGTCTGCTTTTCTTCATGTTTTCTTTGCCTTTTTTCCACCAAGCTCGGCCTCCATCTTTCTCCTCTCTCTCTCTCTCTCTATCTCTCTCTATCTCTCTTTCTTCTTCTCCTTCTCTTCATCTCCTCTCTCTCTCTCTCTATCTATCTCTATCTCTCTTCTTCCCTTCTCTTCATCTCTCTCTCTCTCTCTCCTCTCCTCTCTCTCTCTCTCTCTCTTTCTCTTCTCTCTCTCTCTCTTTCTCTCTCTCTCTCTCTCTCTCCTCTCCTCATCTTCTCTCCGCTGAGAGTTACAGTGCGTATATTCGTATATTCAACTCTATTATCATCTGCATCCTTGACTGATCTCAGCTAGATTCTGACTTCTGGTGATTGTACTACCATATCTCAAATCAACTCTCGATATCGGTGCAAATCTAAGCGAGTACTCGGCATGGACTCGGCATGCCATCTTAATCTCTTTTTCCTCCGTCTCATCGGTCGTCGCTTCCTTCTTCCTCTCTTCCTCTTGTCTCTTCTGCACCTCTTTCTCTCTCCTCTCCCATATCTCCACTCAATCTCTTCTCCGTCCGCAGATACCCGTTCCCCCAATTCTTTTCTCTCTCCCATCAGTGAATCACCGAGTTCGAGCATTCAGTTCTCTCTAGACTCATCTCACCATGCGCTCTCAAGATAGTTCTTCTCATTCATCATTCTGATTTTCTCTAGATCATGATCTGTTCGGATTCTCGTTTCTGTATGCTCTTCTGATTTCGTTCTTTCTTTCTTCCTTTTTCTCTCTTCTATTCTCTCACTCCCAATTTTCTCTTTCTCTCTCCCTCCGCCTCGTCCGCCCCATCTCCTCCCTCCCCCCGTCCTATCTTCTTCTCTGTTGTCCCTCTCTCCTTCCTCCCTTCCTTTCTCTCCCTCTCCTCTCATCCTCTCACCCATCTCCTCTCTCCCCAGTCCGCTCAACCTCCATCCAAACCCAGCGGCCGGCCGTGCGATAGCCCATGCTGGAGGCGAGCAAATGTTTCAATCATAACTTGTGCGAGGTGTCGAAGACACCAAAAGTTTAAATGGTCCCAATTATAAGCGGGTAGTATGCAGCCTCTTGGATTCGGGAGGCCGTCTAAGAGCCACTCTCGCCTGCGCTTCTCGGGCTCTGTTGCCGAAGCCAGTCCTCGCTGTCTGTGCCTCGGGACTCTCGTCAAGGCCTCGGAAGCTCGTTGTCTGCGTCCCTCGTTCTGTTTTAGGTCTGTTCTACGTCTCCTTCTCCAGGCGTTCTGTGTTGTGCCCATGGCTTCTCGGGTTCTGATTTATCGCTATGGCCTCTCGGGTTCGTTATCCGGCCTGGCTTCTCGGGTTCTGTTAATCGCTGATGGCTCTCCGGGTTCTGTTATCGCATGCTCCTCGGGTTCTTGTTATCCGCTATGGCTCTCTCGGTGTTCTGTTATCTGCCATGGCTCTCCGGGTTTCTGTTATCGCCATGGCTCTCGGGTTCTGGTTATCGCACACGGAGAATACAGCTCTCGGGTTCTGTTTGTAGCCATGGCTCTTCGGGTTTCTGTTATCGCCGACGGCTCTCGGGTCTGTTGTCTCATGGCTCTTCTCGGGTTCTGTTGTCGCCATGGCTCTCGGGTTCTGTTATCGCCATGGCTCTCGGGTTCTGTTATCGCCATGGCTCTCGATTTATGCTATAGTAAGAGGTCCGCTCTCTGTTGCCGGTTGTGTTTACTTGAATTCCGTCGCGCATAAAGCTCTTCTCTCTCTCTCGTTCGCTGCCTCTTAGAAGTGATTTCTTCTCTCGGCGAGCCCCTTCATTCTGGGGCGTCGGACGGCCTCTTATCTCCCGTTTCGCTCCGGAAGCAGCTCGCTCTGTCCTTGCTTCTTAGTTCCCTTCTCCTTTCTCTCTCTCTCTCTCCTCTCTCCTCTCTCTCTTCATCTCTCTCCTCATCTCTTCTCTCTTTCTTTCTCTCTCTCCCCTTCTCTTCTCCTCTCCTCTCGTCTCTCTCTCTCAATCTCCTGTCTCTCTCTCTTCTCCTCTTCCTCTCCTCTCCTCTCCACTCTCACCTCTCTCTCTCTCTCTCATCTCTGGCTCGTTTCTCGTTCTCTCATCCTCATCTCTCCCTTCTCTGTCTGTCCTGTCTGTCTCTCTCTCTCTGTCTTTTCTGTCCCTGTCTGTCTGGTCTGTCTGTTCTGTCGATCTGGTCTGGTCTTGTTCTCTTCTTCCTCCTCCTTCTCGTCTCATTTCTCCTCTCGTCTCTCTCCTTCTCTCTCTCTCCCTTCTTCTCTCTCCCTCTCCCTCTCCCTC